CTAAGAACATATATTATAGGTACCTATTTATTAAAACTAATAGCAATGTTTTATGTAAAAATATAAAAATTCAAGCCATATGTACCAACCTTAAACATTTTTTAATTACCTATAACTCAATTTATCTATATTTATATTTTAGAGATATGAGTACCAAAAATTTAGTATACTTAAGTAGTGAACAAGCATTATCGGATTTGGCGGAATTCATTGTCAATATTCGAACAATTTATAATATTCCAGCCACTGCTAAATGGGTAGCATTTGGAGGATCTTATCCAGGATCTTTGGCTGCATGGTTGAGAATGAAATTTCCACATTTAGTGCATGCTKCAGTGTCTTCAAGTGGTCCTCTATTGGCAAAAATAGATTTTAAAGGTATATTATAACAGCTACATATACTAAACATAGGTACAAAGGATGGATTACATTTTTCTCAAACTTGATTACATTTTTTTCTTAAAATCAATCTTAAATCTCACTAAATTGTTTGATTTTTCGAACTTAAAATCATATAGGTACATTTTTTATTAATATATTTTGATGTTTTATTACTATCTGCCTACTGGGAATAAAAATAAACTAGTAATATTTAAAGACAAAAACGAAAACAAATAGTTAAATATTCAAAGTAGTACTCAAATATTTCGAACATTGTTTTTTTGAAGTTACCTATTTAAAAATTTGTTCAAGATATTTAAATTAACAATTTTAACTTAAATGTTTTTAGAATCAAGATTTATCTAATATCTATAGTAGCTTTAGTTTTAATGATATTACGAAATATATAAATTAAAAACATAATTTGGTACTTGTTTGTTATCGCCCCGTCAGTACACCGTATAAAATTTATCGCCCCTCCATAAATAAAAAAATATTTCAATGTGTATAATATTATTTTATTTTATTCAAAAATATATTATAATTTTAAATTTAAAAAGTATATACATTTATATAGTATAAAATTTAAATTCAAAAGTGTATTGTACTTATGTATACTAAGTGATGTGTTAGTAACGTAATAAAATAAAATATAAGAATCCATAGTTATTATAATGGAAGTCAGAACTCGGAGATATCTTTGAAGATAGTTTCAAATGCGTCTTGTTTTCCGAGACATGTTCTCCTCATAAACGCTGCCAAATACGATTCTAAAAAATGTCTGTTAGTTTCACGACGCTTTTTATTGCCTCATTTAGCAGAACCCCAGAACCTCTAAATTTTTTGGATGTGTGCCCCTGTATCCGGATCGACAATATTATATGTGTGGTTAACAGTATTATAATATGTTTGAATCCCGATTTCTGTAGATTATTGTAAGCTTTCCAATAATCTGATAAAATTATTGAGCCTGGTCTTAAATATCTTTGTATTATAGGTAACAATATTTTCTCCAATTGATCAGGTACATTGGTTATTAAACACTCTTTGGTTTTCCTGCATATCCCACCRAAAATCCATTGTAGAATACGCCCAGCATTATTTTTTCCACGCACAAATAAACTTTCATCTATTTCAACAAAAAAGCCGGGACCATTTTCTTTATTTTGATTATTATCAAGCTTCCAAAACACATATACCTCACGTGGATAATTACTCCAATCAACCATAGCATTTTGGCCCATATTTATATCTCGTTTACAAAATGTTACTGATGACATTTCTCAGGCCCAGTAGTATATGAAATGGACAATATTGTGTATATTAGTAGCCTAGAATTAGTCAGCCAATTATTAATTCTTAAACCAGGAACGTACTAAATTCCTACATCATAAAAATTTAGTTTTCTAATTTCCTAAAATATATCACAATAACGATTGCAATAACGATGAATGTTATGTGATACCTACTGAATGGGCAATAACAAGCAAGAGGCGGGGTGATTTATTTTATATGATGTACTGGCGGGGCTATAACAAACAAGTACCATCAATACTAACACTATAATAATTTAATATCTCTAACGTGCACCTATACTTTTACTTTCGTAGAATATTTTAAGGTGGTAGAAAATGCATTAGCAACGTATTCACCAGAATGTGTATTACAAATAAAACAAGCAAATCAAATGATCGATAACCAAATTAAAACAACCAAAGGAGCAAAATTAATTGAAAACAAATTCAAGTAATACTCATATCATAAATTAATCAGTTTTTAAAACATACCTACTAAAGCATAAACTTAATCCTTATTTTTCAGACT